GGTTATGGGGGAATGGGGGGCCCTGGAGGAGACGGTGGCTTCGCTCCTACGCGGATTGTTGAAAATAACTTGCCTTTGATAACGCCTTTGGTTAAGACACTTTCCCTCTTTTCTTTCTTTTTTTTCCCCCCCTTCACATTACGACACCTTTCGTCTTGCTACACAGAGACCTAAAGGGCAAGGAAATAAAGGTGAGTTTGGCTATTTGTTATCTTACTCATCACTGTTGGTTCGATGTTACTTTTTAAACGGTGTGAGGGTCTTTCTGTTTGTTTTTGCTCCCCCCTCCCCGCCCCCCTCTCCTTTTTTTTGAAATGTAGGATTGGAGGAACATTCACCGTGGCTAAGGCAGCCCAGTGCTCTCCAAAACTTCGGTAGCTCCTTGCCTGGAGGCCAGTTTTATAGAAAGCAAAGTGGTATCAGGAACAGTGTTCTGCTTAGTTGTGTATTTCAGTTCAGGAGATGGTGTTATGCATATATGTTTCAATCTGCCTGTATTGTGTCACTTCTTTCCATAGGTAGATAAGTGGAGATTTTGTTTGTCATGTCTAGGTTACTTTGGAACATGCAACCCCATAGCATTCCATGTCACATCAGTGCAAATTGTACTGTTAATCATTGATTCTATTGAAGGCAGTTATGTGAGAGATCAAAGCTGAGCAGGCATGTTCTCGCTCTCTGTAGTCCTGTTTGCAAGGTGGGACTCAATTTGGTACGTTAGAAAGGACTGACGGCGAAGGAAATGCTTGATTATGTGATTTGCTATTTAGTTTTTAAGAAAGGAAGTACTCCGGGAAGTAAAGCGTTTTTAAAAATAAGTGTATTTTGTGTTTACTAATACGGAATAGTTCGGTCAGCTGACTGAAACATGACATTGATCATGTGACGTGAGTGAGTATGGAACAATAACTGCTTTCTTGGGACAGTGCCAATTAAATAGCATTACAGTGAATGGTATATTTATTGACAGTTTGTAATAGGACTTGAAATGAGACTCAATATGATTATGCTTCCTGTTTTTTATTTTAGGAAGCAAAGTATTGCCTAGAAAATAAGATCTACAATAGTTTTTTAGATGCAATTTAATCTCTTTATGATGCTCTTTAGATTCAGGTTATTTGCTATAGCAAATTTGAAAGGCATAGGTACTGTAAACACAGCTTAGTTAATTTTCTTTGATTTGTACAATTTATTTGAGAACTTATGCATTCCAGATATATGGCACTATATTAAGTAACAAATTTATTGTTTTGTTTTGATTAAGGTAGATTTTCTTGGAGTATATACACATTTAGAAATTTTAAATTTTAGAATTTAATTTTTAGAGTACAATTTTTAATTTTAGAATTTTTTTATGTTGGGAGTATAAACCTCAGGATTTGATATAGTTGATTTATTTTAAGTGAGTTTTAAAAAACTTATTTGTAAACTTAAAAAGAATGATCTATTACTTGTTTTTGCTAGTCTTCCCATTAGGAGGTATGTAGACTTGGAGATAGGTGAAATTTGTTCCCATTATTGCCTAGCGTAAGTTATTTTATCCTAGATCTTTGGGGAGGTGGCACTTTGCAAGGCTATTTGAAATGCTAAGAGTTTTGTGTTAATCTGCTATAAAGTAAGTATGCAAGTTCTGTGAAGTACTTGTTTGACAAAACAAAATAGAACATCTATTGAATAAGCCATTACTATAAACTTGATTTATAATATAGTCATTTCACTTAAGTATGTCCTAGTGACATTTTTTATATTATAGGTATAAATTATATGTAAATAATGTATATTGATCATAAATAAATATTTTTTTGTTATTAACATTGTTTTAATCTATTAGTATCACTTTTGTTAGGTGTGTTTAGATACATGTACAAAGTATTTATTTGGATAGTTCTTTATGCCAAGAAATTTTCTTTCTCCTTTATTGTTCAGTTCATAATCTCATTCATGGATAGAAGGATTGACTGGGTTACCAAGGAGATCTGTGTTCTAATACTGCTTGTGGCCGCTGACTTGCCAAGTGAGCTTGAACACAGTGCATCTTTTAACCAGAATTTTCCCTCTATAAAAAATAATAATTCCAGTCATAAACCCTATAATATGTTGTGAGGATTGTTGTAATTACAGTAGTCCACTGCTCTAGCAGTTATATCTGCTGAGTTTCTTTTCACCTTCCTCGCCTATTTTTTAAATATGTTTTTTAAGTTAATTTTAGAGAGGAAGGGAGGGGGAGAGAGAGAGAGATAGATATCACCTCCTGTGATTTCTCCTCCTGTCCACATCCGTACCTGGGATCCAGCCGTCAGCCCGGGGGCATATGCACAGGACAACAGTCAATCAGTTGAGCCACACTGGCCAGGGCCTCAATTCATCTTATTTTTAAGATGCAGGAAGACTGTTGCCTAAAATACAGCAGGAGGGAAAAATGCTACTCTCCTAAAAGTATTGGCAGTCACTTAAGATGCCTTAAAATGGTAGATACTACAAGGGCAAAAATACACATATACATTACTTGTACTTTTATGCCTCTGCAGGGAGAATTACAAGGAGAAGGCACCCCCAAGTGAACTTATACAAGTAGTATATGTGTGAGAAAAACTACTCTGCCTTAGCTGACTGGATTTTCAAGCTAGTGAAATTGTTTTACAGTTATTCTGTTTATTTTTATGAAGCAGAAAGCAAAGTTATTTTTCCTGAACGTAGAGCCTCAGTATTCGAAGAACATGAGTATTAAACTTGAATTTAGAACTTATGAAAAATACATGTCCGTGAGGAGGTGTCAGAGTTTTGAAAGCAGGATCCTTTTCAGTTCATATGATTTCAGAGATGCTGTGTTTCTTCTCTGAACTATTGTTAGTTGACAACGTTGGCTTTACACCTGGCCTTAGTGTCTTTGATTTTCTGCTAATTGTTTTTCTATATATCTTTAATGACATAAATGCACTAAAGGAACTAAAATTAAAATTTAAAGGGAATTTTATAGCAATGTCTTTGTAAGGCAAAACATGCTTTTGTCGTATAAATTCTAGGTTTATTTGTTTATAAGTTTGAATCCTTTTAAATTCATCTATTGTGTACTCTATGTTAAATATTTGAATTGTTTTTATTATTGGCCATGGTGAAGCGTAGTAGAAATTTAAAGATGATTATTTACCTATTGGTCCATAATTTAAAACTTAGTTTATATCGCTTTTATTTATTAACAAGAAGGATTTTTGCTTGCTGGTATCAAAGTGTATTACTCCTTTTCCTGCAGGCATCACAGAGAAAGTGTCAAATCCTATGCTCCTAGTAGCCCTCAGGCCTTACTGCTTGCTTCTTCCTATTCCTTAAGTTCATAAATAGGTAGATATATGGAAAGTAATTTATCTTTTCGCTTCTCTCTCTTCCCCTCCCAACATTGTTTGGTACAACTGTAATGTCACAGACTTAGGTTAAATTTGGCTATTTTTTAGCGATTCAGAAAAGTAGTTGAAAATGCCTTGTATTTTGGCAATATTCTTTTGTAACCTCTCCCATCTCCCCTTTGGAAATGATTGCAAAGCACTTAACTGTCATTTTAGGCTTTATTATTAATCCTCAAAACATTCCTATAAGGAGATAGAGGGTATATGGTATTGTCACTGTTTTTGTAGGTGGGAAAACATGATGCACAGATCTGTTGACTTTCCTAACTTGATGTAGTCAGACCAGAGCAAAGAATCTCCTGGCTCCTAAGGCCCATGTTCTATCTTGATTTGACTCTGCTTCATAGAGCAGAGGAAACAGGCGAAGAATCATGTAAGTCATCTGTTCTTTTTTCCCTGAAGAACTTGTACAGACTATGGAACTAGCTTAGATTTCATTACTATTTAATGGCTCTCAGTCTCCAAGACATTAAATTGTGATTAAGTGATGTTCAAAAACCAAAGTCTTTAAGACAGTTGAATTTCTTAAATGTATGCTTATGAAACTCAAAGGCTGGCTTCTTATTCAGACTTTAATTGAATGCAAATTACTTGTCAGTATGCATAAAATACTTTTAATTAAACATTTCCTTTGACATACTCCTTGAGTAGTCTTTTGAAATTTCTTAGACCTTTACACATCACTTATAAATGATTGTAGACTATTTACTTATTGTGTGTGAATGTTTTGTTCTTAGTCTCAGCCTCTTACGAGAAAGGATAGAACAGAGGAAATAAGAATAGCAGTGTAATATGTATTTAGATAAAGTTTAAGCAGGTACTTTTTACCATATTAGCAGTGTGGATTAAATTTGTGAAAATCTAACAAATACAAGAAATAGATGTGATTTGAAATGGGTAGCTGTTTTAAATATGTACTAATAGTACTGGTGTAATAGTCCAAAAGTGTAGTGAAGAATTATTTTTCAAGAGGTAATACATTATGCATAGCTACCTTTGATAAAGGAGTGGTAAAGAAAAACAGGTATGTTAGAATCTCTTGGGCTGACATGATTAGCCCACCAGAAATAGCCTAAGGTATTCACCTCTTTATTTTAATTTCTAGTAGCTGTTAACCTGTTTAAAATCTGGGGAGCACCTTTAGCTCAACCTTGGCTATTGTGCTATCTTTATTACATAGCGTTAAACCACCTCAGTGGATCAAGTCGACCATCAGGTTTCTCTTATACAGTGGCGCCTTGACTTACGAGTGTCCCAACTCACGAGTTTTTTGAGATACCAGCTGTCTCTCCACCGATTTTTTGCATTGAGTTGATAGAGTAATTTGAGTTAACGAGCTCCTTAAGGAGCTCGGTCTCAGAACGAATTGAACTCGTAAGTCAAGGCCCCACTGTAGTCTTTAAGGGGCAATGTATGTTTACTTTGAAGGCTTCACAATATAGCATTGTTTCTTTGAGTTGTCATTGCTACTTAGTGGGAGGCAAAGAACCAAGGATATCTCCTATTTTTGTTCCCATGTCATTGTCAACTTGCAATTACATTATAGATGATCTAAACTCAAATTAGGAAAAATTAAAATGGTATGCTGTTAAAAAGGAACACCCCTTAAATCCATTGCCCCTGACATTAATTTATAATATTTTGTGACACTATTTTTAAGTAATAAATACCCAGATATTGAGGGTGTTTTTGTTGTTTCCAACAGATTAGTCAATATCCACCAGAAAGGTTCAACTGTTTATATCTCACTTGTGTTTCGAAAGTAGTATAGAATAGTATATTTTCATAGACAGAGCCAGCACATCAAGTTTTAGCCTGGTAAACTTCTGTGGTCCTAAAGTAAATTGTCATCCTGATTGCATACTGTTATTGAATACTCTGATGAGGTGAGGTAGATAGGTACTATTAATATACTCCTTGAACAGAGAAGTAGAGTTAAAAAAAATTAAGTCACTAACTAGAGATCGATCACCCAACTTCTCAGTGTTGGACTTAGGATTCAAACCCAGGATCTTCTTACCTCAAGTTTGCTCAAAAGCACTCTGAGACAGTGTCAAGAGAATAACTATAGAGCATTTATGGAAATGATCTCTGGACAAATATGGCATTATAAATTGTTCTGATTGGTTTTCCTGTGTGTTGCAAGAGTAATCATGGCTATCTTTAGTGTCTGAATTTTATTTGTATTTTCAGGTGGAAGTCTTCATAATTTTTATTTAGAATTTTTCATAATTTATTCATTGTGATATTGCCTCAAGTTAATTTTAGTCACTTTTTTTTTTAACTGGAGACATTTTATGTAACTTTAGATATCAAAAAAGTTCTTTATTTACCTTTATTGAACTAAGTAATAGATTTAACAAAGTTAGAGAACATTCAGAAATCTGCAACACTATTTGAAGTGGTATTTTAGATTCAAATATAGCATTAGCAAACCCTTCCAACATTTTAATTTAACTGTTTGCTTACTGCAGTGTTAAAATTGGGATATTTACTTTATGGTTTTGGTAATGGAAAGTATATATATAATTTGTATTTCTCTAATCTTAGGCATATCAATATAAGATTTGTAACTTTTTGGTAGCACGTAAATATTTGTATCCAAAATTAAATTAATCTTAAGAGAGTGTTTAGGTGAAAAAAAGAAAGCTCAGGGTAACTTTTTGTGACTTGATTTGAAAAATACTGAAAATGTTAGGTTGTTCTGTGATTCTCATAATGATGATTACAACACTTCTAATACAAATATATTTTTTAGTTTCAGTACAAAACGGTTCCATTCATCAAAAAGATGCTGTAAATGATGATGATTTTGAGCCATACTTAAGTAGCCAGACAAATCAGGTAAGTCTGACAGTTCCATATTTAGGGAATTAAACTTATATTAGTATAAATTGATTTTTGAAATAGATATTTAGTTGAATGAGACTAACAATAACATGAATTAATCTAGTGTACCTGAATAGCAGTTGCATGTTTATGACACAGAAGAGTTCTTTAAAAATTATAGACAGCTGAAACTAGATTATGAAATATAAAGATTTGAACATGGAACATTACTAGTATATGTTTTAGTGTGTTTTTTTGAAATGTTGAAAGAATTTAATCTTTTAATGTCACTGTCATATCTTTGTAGCCAAAGCAAATTACAAGGTTTAATTAGCTAGAAATTTGTGGGAGAGGACTACTTTGTGCCTGAAATTTTTGGTTTAATGTAGTATTTTCTTCTTCATAAGACATTCCTATTTGAATTTTACTGATAGTTAAAGTTTTAACTTAACCTGGTAATGGAGGAAATAGATAAATAAAGATATATAAAATAATTAAGACTTTATAAACACTTGCTTCTATATTATATGCATGGAAAATTTCAACAAATCAAATAATTGTTAGCTTTTGAGATTCTTGTGTGTTTGAATTATTCACAAATGTGAATTTAAATATAGGAATAATTTAGATGTAAACATTAAAAATCTGATATTTGGTCTCTATACCATTTCTGTCTGCACCCATTTGTTATTAAAAATATTGCTACTAGAAATAAATTTTAAAAATAAACTTTAATTATTAATCATTTTCTTTAGGGAGAACATTCTGGAATGAAGTTGCTTTTGTTTTGCTTAAAAAAAAAGATGTATGAAAAAAAAATGTATCTTGAAATCTTAACCTCTAGTTTTTTAAAACTATGAAAGAACAAGGAACCAAATGTTATTACACAACTTTATAGTTTGAAAGCAAATTTGAACAAAAATAGTTCCCATTTTGTGGATGTAGAATTACTTTTAGGACTGGAGAGCCATGGTTATGTTTAATCTCTTAGTAATTTCTTTAACCACTCTCTTCTGTCTGTTGATCTGCAGTTCTAGCATATGTTGGGAGAGAATAAATAAATGAGAGAGAAGAAAAATGGGTGATAAAAATCAATGAAAGTTTGGCTACTCTTAAGAATGAAAATTTTCATTTCATATTTATGTAATCTATTTTATAATCTCAATAAATTTTACTTTCCACCTAAATGTTGTGAAAGAATATATAATTGGAAAATAGGGGAAGATCATTTGTTGTACAATTGTATTGTAAGTTTTAAAAGAAACATAATATTCTATTTGGGGCCATACAGTGACCTCAATTAATATCCCTTATGGCAGTGTTTTCCAACCTTTTCGAGAAATTCTGATAATGAGGTATAGTAGATATTATCCCCACAATGTTTTTACGATCAGATAAGTTTGAGAAGTTTATTTGGTCTAAATAATTAAATTGTGGGTTTTTTGCTACTTGATTTTATACTTGATTAAAATATAAAATGAATTTCTAATATAAGGATATATTATGCAGATCCACTGTCTTCATTGTTCAGAGTCTGTTTTCAAGAAATTTTAATGGATTTTAAATGTTTGAAAATTGCTACCATAAGAATCCTCGCTTTACTTGGTAACAGATATTTTATAATTCATTTGTCACAGGGGCTTAGAAGATTGGTTATTTGGCATTCCACAGAGGTGCTTCAGGTCTGCCTAGGGGAGATTGGGGGAGGGTACCCTTGATCCCACCTTTGTGGCAACCAGAGCTCTGCTTTGCTTTTTATCTGTTCTTTTATATTGGAATTTTTCATAAAATTTCACTTGTAAAAAAATTTTAAAGTGTTGGAAAATTAATTTTTAAGACTATAAATGCATTTACCTTAATCCAATTTTTAAATTGTATCATAAAAGCTTCCTTGTTAATATTGGCAAAACAACTATAATAGTCTTGTTTTTTAATGTGATGTTTACATGGAAGGTCTTATGCTTTATATTAATTAAATCATTTTAATTCATGTTATTTGAATCAATATAGTCATGTGCTATTTCAAGAGAGGTTTTAAAGTTTAATACCAGTAAGACTGTATTTTACTTCCCTCTTGCCAATATTAGTGAATAGGTTTTCAGCAGTTATCTTTCTGTAATACTAAATAATTATGTGTAGTCAAGGTACATATTTACTTTTTTTCTTTTAATATGTTTTATTGATTTTAGAGGGAGAGAGAGAGGGAGAATGGGAGAGGGAGATAAAAATATCAGTGTGAGCGAAACATCAATCAGCTGCCTCCTACATGCTCCCTACTGGGGATTGAGCCCCAAACCTGGGCATGTGCCCTGACCAGGAATCAAACCAGTGACCTTTTGATACATGGGATGACGCTCAACCAATAGAGCCACACTGTCTAAGGCCATATTTACCTTTTAAAGAACACTATAATTATTGAATATTGAATACTGGGTCTATTGAAGAGAAAAATGGAAAATTATCTGAAATATGAAAGTAAGTTGTAAGAATTTAACTTAAAATTGCTTAATTGAAATTTTAAAAACTTACAAAAATTGACCTTTTAGAACAGATGAGTGAATACTGGATTTATTGGTGAAATATATCAAGTAATTATTTGCAGATTTAAAGTTCTGCAAGTATTTGTAGGTCCTTGCACTGACCTACCTGAAGTAATTATTTAATTTTTAAATTTTCAATTATAAATATGCAATATGACTTTAAAATTAAATCCCATCATTTGATTTTAATATTATAAATAAGAAAAATGAATCATTTGTCTGGAAAGGTGTTTAATATTTTTGGTTATTTTAAATTGTTTTATATACTTAGATCTAATTCACATCAAACCCAGGAATACATTACACCAGGCTATTCGTCTTCTGTGGCAGCATATTTCTTCTATTTTCTAGTGTTCATTTTATTAGGGAATAATTTTTATATTAATTTACAAGTAAATGTCTGTCCTTCTGGTTTTAAAATTAGTTCTCTTTTTTATGGATTTATATTAGGCTTAGCCAAATTGGAGGTTTCTGTTTGGCAAGGAAGGTAGGGTTTTTCAAAATGCAGGCTTTAACCAGTAGATTGGGAGACAAGACCAACTGAAGCTTTATGAAATGTGTATTTTTGTTGCTTCTGTTAATTCTATTTTGTGTGTATTGTCTTATTTTTTAATGATTTAAAAAAAATTCTTATGCTTAAAAGTTTATTTTGCTTAATTATAAAGTGGATGTGCATGTAACATTTATGTAAAATATTTGCTGTGTAGAGTTTTTTTTTGGTTTTGTTTATTCTCTTAAAAGATCGCTATATTTAAGTAAAAATGATCAGCCAAAAAATAGTTCTCTATAATTCCTCAGAATAATTGGACAATTTGTTGGTCAGAAAATTCATGTTTAATTGGTACTATTAAACGTGCCTTATAAATTGGAAGAGTAAGTTGGAAAAATGAAGTTTGAATTTGTCTGTTTGTATATATGGGGAAATAAATTCCTAGTCAAAAATCGCTTATTTAAGTAAAAATGAAGATCAGCCAAAAAATAGTTCTCTATAATTCCTCAGAATAATTGGACAATTTGTTGGTCAGAAAATTCATGTTTAATTGGTACTATTAAACGTGCCTTATAAATTGGAAGAGTAAGTTGGAAAAATGAAGTTTGAATTTGTCTGTTTGTATATATGGGGAAATAAATTCCTAGTCATGTTTATCAGGAAAGAGATATAGAGAACTAAGAGAATAATATAATTATCTTTGCCTGTTTGAATGATTTCCTAACTGGTAATTCTGTATTGCCACTCAGGAGTCTTAAAGTTGAAGTTTGTGCCATTGACATATTAAAGAATTTACCTCAACTTCACAACACATCCCTCCTGCCTCATCTTTGGTCAGCTTTCTCCATCTCACTTACTCAAGGAAATAGGGCTTATTATTATTTTCTGAAAATGTAAATATTTTCTTTCATAATCTCAATGTGTACGATTTGCATACACCCACACACAGAATCCTGTGTCTATTGCTTCTGAAGTCTTTTCTGATTCCCCCAGTTACTTGCACCCTTCCTTCTCTTTGTGCTAGAGTGTTTGTTTTCTTTTGTTTGTACTTCCATTATAGTACTTATCAAATTGTAGGGTAAATATGTCTTCCCCTAGACTTGTGGAGTCCTTTAGGTCAGAAACCATGTTTTTCATCTTGTCTCCAGTGACTGGCACTTTAATCAGTTACATAGTAGGCATTTATTAAATACTTACTGAATGTGAATTAGGTTATCTTCTAGAATTAAGGAATGAAATATTATGGTTGAAATGTCAAGTTATATGACAGAGTACATTTTCTTATGACATTTTTATTATTAATCTGCATAAATTATAGGTTTTTAAAAGTACAATAATATTTTTTAAATATTTGAGGAAAATACAGGTAAACATTAAAAGTAGACTAACCTTCACTTTTTATTAATTCAGAAGTGAGTTCAGGAGATTGAAGTACCTCAGGTTCTTAAGGGGAAGCAATTTTGTTTATCTCTGTGCTTACGTGCTGACATTGGTGGATAATGCCTCAAGTCTTTTTTATTGAACTTCTGAAACATTGTACAGTGTTCTCCCTTGGAAATTTGGGTGTTTATGAAGCAAAAATGAATATTAAGTTACCTTAACTAAAACAAAACACACACACACAAAATAAAAGACTCAGTTATAATTGAGTTGTATTAAAATGTCTTTAGGTTAGAACAGTGATCATAAACTTTTTCTTACTGTTCAGGTTTTCTTTGAGATAATAGAAAAACAACTGGCCTGCGGGCTAAAGGATAATAATTATAAATGATTTCAAAATTCTAACGAAGAATTTTTAACCTTCCATATTTTAGTTTTCAAATTAAAAAATCTAAAGGTAAAGGCTTAATCTATATTTTAATATAGCACTTTGCAATTAAAGATTTAGAAAAATCTTTACAGTTGATTAGAGTAGCAGGTATCATCCCCATTTTACCAATGAAGTAACAAGGTTAGAGAAATTAATGATCAGTGAAATCACTGACATAGAAAGTGGAAGAGTATAGAATTGAGCCCAATCCTTGCCTACTACATCACATCTTGACTTTATATCTTCTTTTGTTTTTTTGTTTTTGTTTTTGACTTTTTAAAATTCTCACCCAGGTATATGTTTTTATTAATTTGTGAGAGAGAAACATCAGAGTGAGAGAGAAACATCAATCAGTTGTGTTTCCCAAGCACACCCAACCAGGGATTGAAACCTCAACCCTGGATGTGTGCCTTGACTGGGAATCTAACCCCCAACCTTTTGCTGTAATTGACCATGCTCCAACCAAGTTAGCCACCCAGCCAGGGCCAGGACTTTATACTCTTAAGATCTGGACTAGCTTTGAAACTATACAAATGTGCTTGATGGTTAAGTTACATTTTAAAGAGGCAGGTTGAGTTGTATTAATAAATATAACTGTTGACCACTTACTGTGTCATAGGCACTGTATCTTTATTTCCTTTGAATAGTGGAGAAAAAAATTCAGAGTTGTATTTTGGCTACTTTCACTTAGCTGATAAGTGCCTAGGCTGGGATTAGAATTTGGTTGCCTTATGGGTTCACTTCAACCTTATATTAAACTAGAGGCCCGGTGCACTTATTCGTGCACCGGTGGGGTCCGTTGGTGTGTACTGCAGGGATCAGGCCACGGCAGACAGCTGGGGAGGAGCCTGAGCCCGGGCCAGGTGCAGTGCCACTGCTCAGTTAGCTCGCCATCCATGAGCCTGGTATCTGGCGCCCATTGGTCAGCTGAGTGGCACTGCTGCTGTGGGAGCGCACTGACCACCAGGGGGCAGCTCCTGCGTTGAGTGTCTGTGCCCTGGTGGTCAGTGTGCATCATAGCTTAGGCATATATAGATAGATAGATAGATAGATAGATAGATAGTGGCTTAGGCATATATAGATAGATAGATAGATATAGATATATAGATGATATATAGATATATAGATATAGATAGCTCCTCAGGTAGTGTTTCTAAGTTTATGCTGTGGGTAAAGGAATTATGCATCTGTTATCAATTATCCATTGGTAATTATATCACTTTTTATATGTACATATTTCCCTTTCAATTCGTTTTTTAAATATAAGGGAAATCTCAAAAGTTTTACATCACTTTATTTAAAGGTGATAGATTTTAAAGAATGTGGTAGCTCAGGCCAGTGTGGCTCAGTTAGTTGAGTGTTGTCCCATGCACCAAAAGGTCCCTGTTCAGAGCATAAGCCCAGGGTTGTGGACTTGATTCCCAGTGGGGGGCCTGCAGGAGGCAGCTGATTGATGTTTCTCTCCTCTCTTAACCTCTCTCTAAAATCATTATAATCACGTTTTAAGTAAAACGTGAAAAAAAAAGTAAGTGTTGAGTTATTTTCCATTATCAGGTTACAGAATCAGTTAAAACTGAATTTTCAAAGAACTGTGGCCCAGGGACCCAATTCAGTCCATTCTATTTCTTTGAGAAATTCCTTGAGTTAGCAGCCTTTTTCAAAAGTAAATATGTGGCAGCAACCAGAGTTTATTTAGCTTGCAAAGCTTAAAATATATATTTGTTCTTTGACCTTTTGTTGGCTGACCCCTGAATTATACTTTACGTATACATAAATTAGGAACTTGATATGTAATTGTGCAAAATTCAGCATTTGTGAAGGTGAAATAAGAATATTCAAAATAAATTATGAGTATAATTTTGCAAACACTTTATTATGAAAAATGAACTTAAAAAGTTTCTACCTGGTCTGCTTTTCCACTCCCACATCCACATAACTTACTGAGTCTAGGTTTCAGTGCCAACATTCTAAATTAAAACTTTGAAACTGATTACCTCCATATTTAGCCCAGCTCTCGTACTCTTCCCTCATGGGAAATTTATTCACTTCCATGTGTTATGTGTCATTAGCTGTAGGTTTTCTTTTACAATGAGTATCTTTTTTCTTTTTTTTTTTGATTTTTTACAGAGAGAGGAAGGGAGAGGGATAGAGAGCTAGAAACATCGATGAGAGAGAAACATTGATCAGCTGCCCACTGGGGATGTGCCTGCAACCAAGGCACATGCCCTTGATTGGAATCAAACCCGGGACCCTTCAGTTCGCAGGCCGACGCCCTATCCACTGAGCCAAACCAGCTAGGGCTACAATGAGTATCTTATATCACAGTTTAGGTATTTAATAAGTGTTTGGTTAAAATTACTAATAAATAGATACTCTAATAACTTTAAATTTAAAAATATTTTAAAAAATCGTTTAATCTATTATATAGATTATTCTGGCTGAACTTTAGTGATTGGTTGGTTATACTGTGTGTGTGTGTGTGTGTGTGTGTGTGTGTGTATGTGTATGTGTATCAACTTCATTGACTGGTAAAGTTTACTTAATTCATTGAAGAATTTTTTCATTGAAAACCATTGTTGGTGATTTTGAACTTTTCCTCAAGAAGCTCTTATTTTTGTCTTTAAATATAACAGTCAGTATTTCCACTGTTAATTTCTGTAAAGATGGCACTACTGTGGTGGTTCCAAAGATGCTCTTCATTTCTTTTATACTAATTCTGTGAACATTGTTGGAATATATTTTCAAATACAGTTAATAATTAACCTTTGTATAGTTAATGAATATGTTCAACTAAATTAGTAAATAGTAACATGTGTATTTCCAGTTTTGAATACAGTAAAATGTACTTCATATCAAGTGAATGAAGTCATTTTTGTTTTCTTTAAATAGTATGAATTGAGAGTTGTTTTTTTAAATGCAATCTTTACTGGAAGTAGTAATATTATGTCATAATTATTAATTTAAATACAACCTTTATTTGAAACTTAATAGTAACAATAAAGCATCTCAGTTTTTAATGATTGGCCTTTACAAAAAATAATTTAAAGTGAATTCCAGGCAATATGATGTTTGCTTTCCATTTATATTGATGTACTTTCTTGAGTGAAAAAGCAGTGTTTTAGAATAGTCCCAAGAGACTAATGGCAAAAAAGGGGCCGGGGGGCGGGGGGGGATTACATACTTTGCTCTGGGAAACTTAGAATATCTATAAAAATGAAGTGAATAATCAGTCTTCGAACTTTGACCCTTGCAAAGGGAATACTAGTTCTTCTGACTGGATATTAGCTTAATTTTTTTCACCTTGCTTATTCTACAAATTCTAAAGGTCTGTTCGAGGCTTTAAAAATCACACCTACATCAAATTGTGAAAATCTGTTGTTAGGCCTGTTTGGGGCATAAGAAACACATATTCAAAAAAATCCTTAAATATTTTATTTTTCACATTGTGTTAATAACAAATTTGAGTTTTTAAAAATAGAATTTGCTACCTTGGTTTTTGGCAAATCACTGAATGATTAGTTAATATTCAAAATAAAAGTTGATGTAATTGCAGTAATTTTGGGGGGAAATTGCAGGAACTCAATTTGTAAATGAAAATTCTGATCAGGAAGGTGATGTTTATTGTGTAAAATTTGGAAAATCTAAAAAAGAAAAGAGGCACCTGCTATCCTACCATTAAGAAACCGTAGAAAGGATTTGGTTTGGTTTCTTTTTAAAATGAGTGAGGCAAAACAAAAACAAATTTGGATCATGCTATACATATAATCATGAATCTTTGCTTCTCAGAGTGTATTTCTCTAATTTTTTTCTTAAAATTTCAAAATTTAACTGCTGAACTGGATTCTGTAATACAGATAGGCTATAATTTCTCTATTATTGGCATAGTTTTCAGGCTTTTTAAATTTTTGGTTATACATGTTTGTATACATCAGTTGCTTAAAATAAAGCTGGCTATAAATGATGAATTTGTGTGGGCAAAATTTAGAAACCAATCTTTTGTAGAAAGTACAGTATTTTTAAATGGTGGTAGAGGACCAGATTCTTTAAACAAAAATAATTATCTTCCACCCCTAGCTCTGTAACAAAAAACTTGGAATTTTATAAACATTTTAAAGTAAAAATACTCATCAGCAAATTTTTCTGTTGATAAAATTAGGTTTGAAACTTTAATTTTGCTTATTTGGAACAGGTGGATTTGTTTTCATTTACTTAAATTTATTTGATTTTCATCTTTCAGATCCCCCCCCCCCCCTCACCCTTCAGAGGAACTTTGCTCTTGATTATGATCTTTTGTTTTCCAGAGTAACAGCTATCCACCAATGTCAGATCCATACATGCCTAGTTACTATGCTCCATCCATTGGATTTCCATATTCTCTTGGGGAAGCAGCATGGTCCACAGCTGGAGACCAACCTATGCCATATCTGACAACTTATGGACAAATGAGTAATGGAGAACATCATTATATACCAGATGGTGTGTTTAGTCAACCTGGGGCATTAGGAAATACCCCTCCATTTCTTGGTCAGCATGGATTTAACTTTTTTCCTGGTAATGCTGATTTCTCTACATGGGGGACAAGTGGATCTCAGGGACAATCAACGCAAAGTTCTGCTTATAGTAGCAGTTATGGCTATCCACCTAGTTCTCTTGGGAGAGCTATTACTGATGGACAGGCTGGATTTGGCAATGATACTTTGAGTAAGGTGCCTGGCATTAGCAGTATTGAGCAAGGCATGACGGGACTGAAAATTGGTGGTGACCTGACAGCTGCAGTGACAAAAACTGTAGGTACAGCCTTGAGCAGCAGTGGTATGACTAGCATTGCAACCAATAGTATGCCCCCAGTTAGCAGTGCAGCACCTAAACCAACCTCCTGGGCCGCCATTGCCAGAAAGCCTGCCAAACCTCAACCGAAACTTAAACCCAAGGGCAATGTAGGAATTGGAGGTTCTGCTGTGCCACCACCTCCTATAAAACACAACATGAATATTGGAACTTGGGATGAAAAGGGGTCCGTGGTAAAGGCACCACCAACCCAACCAGTTCTGCCTCCTCAAACTATAATTCAGCAGCCTCAGCCATTAATTCAACCACCACCATTGGTGCAAAGCCAACTGCCTCAACAGCAGCCTCAGCCACCACAACCACAGCAGCAACAAGGACCTCAGCCACAGGCTCAGCCTCACCAAGTGCAGCCCCAACAGCAACAACTGCAGAACCGTTGGGTAGCTCCTCGGAATAGGGGAGGTGGCTTCAACCAGAACAATGGAGCGGGCGGTGAAAACTTTGGTTTAGGTGTTGTTCCTGTCAGTGCTTCACCTTCTAGTGTAGAAGTGCATCCAGTGCTGGAAAAGCTAAAGGCCATAAACAACTATAATCCCAAAGACTTTGACTGGAACCTGAAAAATGGACGAGTGTTTATAATTAAAAGCTATTCTGAGGATGACATTCACCGTTCCATTAAGTACTCTATCTGGTGTAGTACTGAGCATGGTAATAAGCGTTTGGATGCAGCTTACCGTTCCCTGAATGGGAAAGGCCCACTCTATTTACTCTTCAGTGTGAATGGCAGTGGACATTTTTGTGGAGTGGCTGAAATGAAGTCTGTTGTGGACTATAATGCATATGCTGGTGTCTGGTCTCAGGATAAGTGGAAGGGCAAATTTGAAGTTAAGTGGATCTTTGTCAAAGATGTTCCCAATAACCAATTACGGCATATTCGCTTAGAAAATAATGACAACAAACCAGTTACCAATTCAAGGGACACTCAAGAGGTACCCCTAGAAAAAGCTAAGCAAGTGCTTAAAATAATTGCTACCTTCAAGCATACCACCTCAATCTTTGATGACTTTGCACATTATGAAAAGCGTCAAGAAGAGGAGGAAGCCATGCGTAGGGTAAGAGTACAGTAATTTTTGTGTGTAGGGTCTTTTTATTGGGGTACTGTGCATGGATGGGTATTTAATGCCTTTTAATATTACATTTTGAGTTTAAGAACTTTACTCTGAAGGAAAACAATCACTTAGTTTAAGAAACAACTTTACAAAGATCCTTGAAGACCTGTGATGTCATATTTGAAACATTTCTCCTTTCCAAGGGTAACCCTTACTCTCTGAATTTGCTTTTTGCCTATTCTTCATACTCCTCAGGTGATAAAGGTTATTGAGTCGTGTTTATCAAAGCTCAGTGAATTCTGCGTTTATAATTAATCAGGCTTGAGAACTAGCAAGGGACTCTAATCTTAAACATTATTTTTATGGAAATAACACGTCTGGAGTTTGAACCAAACAGTTTTTAAATAAATGTTTGAACATTATTTATTTTGTATTTATGAGAAATAAAATATTTTTCCCTAAAACTCCTGAAGCTTTTTTATAATTATGCAGTTAGAGCACTTGTACAAAATGTAGACGAATTTAACTTTAGGAAGGCAGCTAAGAGTTGGGAAGACATGGGGCTTTAGATGTAGATTGCAGAATTTTATTTCTTCAGTTATTTACTTTTGTTGAGACTCTAAAGGAGATTTCTCAAGAAGTTACTCATTGTTCATGTTGCATCATATTGGCCAGATTTGATCAGAGGGCACACAGCAAGATAGGCTGGGGAATGTTTTCTGTTTTAGACTACAAAAGAAAATTGGTGTGGGGGAGGGTGCTAATTTTAGGAGAAAAAGGGGATGGATGGAGTAAGAAACTAACAGATTTTTCCATAGACAGTACATTTAAAGTTATTTTCAAATAAGGGATAAAGTTAGAAGCTTCTCCAATAGATTATGATGGTTGCTATGGAAAGCTTGCATGTAGAAATTGAGATAAAACAGGAACTAAAGTTGATTCCTATCTGTGTGTAAACATAAGCATCTTGTGGCTACTTGATATTTGCAAAAGAGGGAACTATTTCAGTTAACATTTCTTACTGGTGAAGCATGTGAAATGATCCTAGAGCAGTAGTTCCCATACATTTTAGGACACATACTTATCAATTAGGGTGCTTCTTGAAAATGCAGACTATTGAGACAACCCCAGGCAATCTGATATATTTGATAAGGAACCTGGTAGAGTATATTTTTAATCGAGCACCTCGATAATTTTGCTGCTAGTGATTCTTGAACTGAATTGTTAGAAACTTTGCTTCGGAATAGTACAAATGGCTATTTAATATTTAAGGCCCTGTTTAACCGTTTGTAACTGCCCTTACAAATAATGGATCAGGAGAAATGATTTGGGGTATGAAAGGTGGGGTGCAAGTGAAGATTTTGTTTTAGGATGTGCTGATTTTAAGGTGCTTTTGAGAAATATAGATAGTGAAATCTCTTTGATTAGACAGTTAGATGTGGGAGTCACAGATGGGGACTTTCTTGTTCTTAAACAGATAATTCCACGGAAGTGGGATGAGATTACTCCGGGAGAAAGATGCAAGGCAGGGAAATAGTTATCAACTGTTCTTTCTACTGCTAAGGAGAGGCCACCCTTTTATGTCTTTCCACAATTCTTCTCTACCCAGTCTGAAATTTTAATTCTAGGGTGTTTTTTAATTATTATATAACTATCTCAGGAATTATGACCATTACATACTGTTTTGTAGTTATACATTCAACGGTTATTTGAACTTTAAAATTTTACATTTAAATTGTTTTATTGTTTACAGCCAGTCTTTTTATGTCTCACTCACCTTTGACATATTTGCTTTGGATTTTATTTAGCTTATTGTATTATTTTTTAGGAAGAGTAGCTGATAATATTTTTATTAAGCCCTTCTAAATGCAAGAAAATGCCTTACTTTGACCATAATAGAACAACAGTTTACCTGGATATAGAATTTTTGAGTCACAGTCTTTTCTTTCAGGCTTCATTTTATAGCTTTATATTTCTATTACATATAAAAGATGTCTGAGGCCAGCCTAAATTTCCTTTCTTTGGAAATAAAAGATTTTTTTTTTATTCTTGCAATATGGACCTCTATGTAGAATGTGTCCAATATGGGTCTCTATTATAATTTTTTTTAATTCTTTGTCCAAAGGTCAGGTTTTCATTTTCTTTTTTCTAATAATGTCAAAGAATGTTGAATCTTTGAACATTCTTTCAGTGCCATTGGTTCTTACCATTTTTTTTTCTGCATTTGGAGAATTTCTCAAATTTGAATTTTCATGACATTGATGTGATTTGCTTTGTGTTGATTTTGTGACTTGTGAGGTTCTGCATTCTTCAGTGACATGTCTGCTTATGTTATCACATCTAGCTCCCATTTATTTCAGTTGATTGATTGCTTACCTGAATTTTTTGATGCCTAGTTGATTTAATTTTTTGGGTCACAAAGATGACTGTTCACAGCCTATCTTTGCTTCCTATAATGATTATTTTTAGGAACTTCTTCCTTTTCCATATCCTTTTTAACTTGTTTCTTTTATTAAATATACATACAGTAAAATTGTAAATTCTCCTTTGCTGCTGCTCTCTAGTTAAGCCTTCTCCTTTTTAACCCTAATTCACTGATCTGTTCTGTCTCTAGGAAGCATTTTCCATAATGTCAGAAATCACAGTGTGTACTCTTTTAAGACTGGCTTCTTTCACTCAGCATGCTATCTTTGCAGTTTGTTGTTTTGTATACCAATTCTTTGTTCTTTTTAATTATTACTAAGTACTATTTCCTTATATGGATTTACCAGTTTATCCATCTGTTCTTTCTTTGAAGGACATCTGATTATTTCCAGTATTTGAAGAATGTAAATAAAACTTCTATAAATATTTGTATACAAATCCTTTAAAAACATTTTTAAATCATACAGTAAAATTCACCTTTTTGGTGTGGACAGTTCTATAAATTTTAACACATTTGTAGATTTGTGTAACCACTACAATCAGGATACAGAATAATTCCATTATCTCTCCAAAACTATCTTTTTTTTTAAAAAAATATATTTTATTGCTTTTTTACAAGAGGAAGGGAGCGAGATAGAGAGTTAGAAACATCGATGAGAGAGAAACATCGATCAGCTGCCTCCTGCACATCTCCCACTGGGGATGTGCCCGCAACCCAGGTACATGCCCTTGACCGGAATCGAACCTGGGACCTTTCAGTCCGCAGGCCGACGCTCTATCCACTGAGCCAAACCGGTTTCGGCTCTCCAAAACTATCTTGTACTATTCCTTTGTATTTATATTCTTCCCCCAAGTCTAACCTCTGGCAGCCATTGCCTGGACTCATTATAGTTTTGCTAGTATCTTTTTTTGCAATATAGGTTGACTCTTTTTGGCTTTTTTTTCCTGATCATCCAGGTCAGGTATTTGTCCCTACATAGCATGCTTTTTGTTGTTGGTGGTCTCGGTGTTTCTTTGTTTTGTACTTTAATGCTTGGTGTTAGTTGCATATTTTCTTCCCATTGCAGATGTGGAAATGGGAAAGGCATGGTGAAGTTGACTTTACCAATTAAGCAATTCATCAGCCTGTGAAGAGTAAGAAGGTAGAGCCAGTACAGTGGATATGCAGGTGAAATTTTTGAAACCACCATGTCAGGAAAGTTTTCCTGCATATTAACCGTTTAACACTTGGGGTATCATGTGTCTTTGCCCAGTTTTCTTCCTGGTGCTATTACCTCTTGTCGAGGCAGAATTTGTAGATTTTCATTTGTAAATTTTCTCTTAGATGTACTTGTACTTGCACTTTGGCTCTCCAGCAAAACTGCTTTCAAAATATTCTTGATATCCTAGTGATGAAGGAAGAATGTATATATATTCTAGGTCCTTCTGTGCTCTATCCAAAAAGACAAATTAGTAGTGTTTTGGTAGGATTCTCTTTACTTGTTGCAGTTTAAAAAAAAATTTTTTTAAATATATTTTATCGATTCTCTACAGAGAGGAGGGGAGAGGGATAGAGAGCTAGAAACATCGATGAGAGACAAACATCAATCAGCTGTCTCCTGCACGTCCCCCACTGGGGATGTGCCCACAACCAAGGCACATCCCCCCGACTGGAATCGAACCCGGGACCCCCGAGTCCGCAGGCCGACGCTCTATCCACCGAGCCAAACCATAGAGCCAAACCGGTCAGGGCACATTTTTTAAATTTTTAAATAAAAGTAGTTGCAAGTCATTAGTTAAACTTCTCCTTTAACATGACCCCCTCTTTCTTGTATTTAGCTGAAATTCCTCAAAGCGTATGATAATGTGAAGATTACATTTTCCCAGGTGCATGTCCTTCAGACCATCGGTAAAGAAGGGTTTCTTTCTTTTTTTTTTTAAATATATTTTATTGATTTTTTTCAGAGAGGAAGGGAGAGAGATAGAGAGTTAGAAACATCGATGAGAGAGAAACACCGATCAGCTGCCTCCTGCACATCTCCTACTGGGGATGTGCCCGCAACCCAGGTACATGCCCTTGACCAGAATCGAACCTGGGACCTTTCAGTCCGCAGGCCGACGCTCTATCCACTGAGTCAAACCGGTTTCGGCGAAGAAGGGTTTCTTAAGACACAAAACACTAATTATAAAAGAAAAACTGATAAAATTTGATTATATTAAAATATGCTCATGAAAAGATGATTTAAAGAAAGTAAAAAGACATGTTAGGAGCTGGGAGAAATTTGAACATAACTGACCAAAGATTAGTATCAAAAATAAAGAATATGAGTCAATTTAAGAAAAAGATAAATAATCTAGTAGAAAAGTGGGCAAAAGATGTATGGATAGTCCTTTCATGGGAGGAAACAATAATGGTTAATTAGTACATAAAAAGATATTCAGTCTTAATAATTAGGAAAATGATAATGAGAAAATATTTTATATTCATTTATTTGGCAAAATTAAGAAACTTAATAGTATCAAGTATTGGAAGACTGCAGATCAACAAAATCTCATAAATTTGCAGATGGGAACCTTAAATTGATAAAGCCATGTGGAGAAACAGTTTTGTAAGGTATATATTCCATATACCTTATAGTTCAGCAGTTTTCCTTCAGGATAGATATGTAAGAGAAACTTCCCCCATACCCCAGAAGACATACAGCAATGTTCTTAGTGGAAACAAGTGATAATAGTAAAAACAAAACAAAAAAACCAAGGACTAACCCAAATGTCCATCAGCAGGAATACGGCCAAAATACATTGGTGCAACAGTAATATGGTGGAATGATTGATATCTATATATCTACTTGCAACAATATGAGGGAATCTCTTTTTTTCTTCATCTTTTTATTTAAAAATAATTTGTAATTTATTTGGAAATATAAGAATAGTATGTAGAACATTCAGATTGACCTGTTAACATTCTTTCCTGTTTGCTTTGTTGTTGTTTTTAACAATTTCAGAGTAATTTTCATATATCGTGTTTCTTTCCCCAAAAAAGTATAGTGTATATTTCCTAAGAATAAGGATATTCTCTAATATAATTGCAGTATTCTGTTAGTTGATCCATAGTATCCTTTAAGCCTTTTTTTTTTTTTTAGTGTAGGGTCAGGCAAAGGTCCTTTAGCCAAAACAGTTTTGACAAAGAACAATTTTGGAAGGCTTATATTAATCTGACTTCAGATCTTTGCCTTCCCCAAATTCGTGATTATTTTTTCTTTGCTTTTTCATAGAAGTTTTGTGCTTTAAAATTACACATATATGTCTATAGTGACAGTAGCTTTCTCACATTTCTCTTCTTACTGTGCTTATGTTTTTCTTTAAATTCTTGAGTCTACTTGTGATAGACAAGGACTTCCAAAAGCTAATTCTATCTTGTCATTGCTGTATCTTTTTTATGGTTTCTAAAAATTTTTATTCTGGTTATTTTGGCAATGAAGGAATTCCCCAGCTTGCCTTGCCAGGAAAGCACCCTATGGAGGAGCCGACCAAACATCCTGTCTTGTTATATAAAACTTGCAAGTCAGGCTATTTTAGAATGAGGGGTATTGGTGAAACTTAAAACAACAGGAGAACTCCATACCAGTTATTGTAGTATTTGTATAGTTCTTCATTCTTAAATTTGAACACAGAATTTTGTTATGTTTGATAAAAGAAGATATCAAGCTTGTTGAAAGAACAACCAGAGCAAACCCATTAAAAGAAATATTTAATACAGGGAGCAAAAGGTAATTTAAAATATAAACAAAATTTGATTTGTTGTTAGGGAGGATTTATGTATAAAAAGAAAAGAAAGCCAGAAAATGTTATTGGAAATAAGAAATGTGATTCTCATAATAAAAAAGCAGTGAGCAAGCAGATTAATAAAACGTTCATGTTTTAGGTCCAGGTGATGATCTGGAATTTCGAATCAAAGAAATTTCCAAATGTGGAGCAATAGAGGTGAAAATATAAAGTGTGAAAGATGTGGTGGAAAAAGGGATTCACTGTCTCTCAGTGTTTAAGAGAGTACAGGAAAAAGCAATGGGAAGAATGATTAAAGAAAAGTTTCCATACTCAAAGATATATGTTTTCAGAAGTATGGACTCACTTGAGTGACCAACAGGATAATTTAAAAGAAAAAGAAAAAAAAAAAAAAGACAGGATAAAGATATTTTAAAAGCTTTCCAAGCAAGAACAAATTACTAAGAAAGGAGATTATCATGGGAATTCTAATCTACAGCTCTGGATTCTCACATGTAAAATGTATTTGGGAGTGGAGAGGAATGGGGTATATTGTTTTTAAAGATGAGTGTTGAATTCTGTCAATGAGGGGGAGGCAAAATAAAGATTTCAGGTATAAAAGAGCTTAGCCAAATTCTCTTTATGAGAAAGTTACTTGAAGAGCTATTTCAGCAGAGTGAAAAAGGAATTCAAGAAAGATAATAAGACCTGGTTGCTGGTTATACTAGAACAATATCTTTCTCTCAAAAGCGACTCTATAGGCATTTTGAATAAGACTGGTCTTCATTGTATATAATGTGTATAAGGGCTGTATGCATTTCTCCACTTTCTGTTAAGTGGCACTGTGGTCTTTGAAGCCCGACAAATGAAATGAGCCCTCACTTGGAAACCACTGACCTTGGAGATGGGTGTGAAGGAAAAAAAAAAAATCTAGCTAATGTTTGTTCTCATTGGACCATAAGCTGGCTTCATGAGAGCAGAACTTCTTTGTTCTCTGCTCAAGCCCTAGCACCTAATAGTTGGCACATAGTGTTTAATAAACATTTGTTAAATGAGTAAATGCTTAAAAAAATTTTTTTTGAAAGTTTGAATGTCATAGAATTTTTCTTTTTATTGGTTTAATTACTGTACTTTATTTGGGAACTAAGTACTTAATCATTCAAGTTATGTAATGTTGCCTATTGGTTTTTCCATTTGTAGAAATGTATAATCTCTATATATAAAAAGCCAGTGACCGGAATGCCGGATGACTGGTTGCTATGACGCGCACTGTGGCCAGCAAACCGGCCCAATTGGGGGGGGTGGGGCCAACCGGCCAACCTCCTGTGTCCCCTCTCCCCAGCCGGCCCCACCCTGATCAGGGGCAGGGCCGGCCAACCGCCTGTGGTCCCTCCCCCTGGATGGCCCCACCCCTGATCAGCCCCCTTACACCAATTGGGGCGGGGCCAGCCAGCCAACCACCCATGGCCCCTCCCTCACCGGCTGGCCCCTGATCAGCCCTGCCTACCCCATTCGGGGGCAGGGCTGGCCCACCGCTGCCAGCCTCACCCCGATCAGCCCCACCACCCTAATTGGCCTGCTGCCCCTCCCCACAGCCAGCTCCGCCCCCGATCGGCCCCCTTCCCCCTCACACACACACCAATCGAGGGTGGGGCTGGCCGGCCAACCTCCCATGGCCCATTCCTCTCCTGGCCACTGATCCCCGATTGGCCCCCACCCCACCCCATTTGGAGGTGGGACCCTGTCAGAAGGAAGCAGAGGCAAGGCTTATGGGACTATGTTTATAGTGTCTACAGTACTGTATAGTATGTGCTAGGCCTTCACAGGGCGGGGCCCACCGGCCAATCGCCACGGCTCCTCCCCCAGCCAGCTCAGCCCTGATAGGGCCCCTATCAGGGCAAGCCATCCGGCCAGCTTCCCACCGTCTCCTCTTCCCAGCAGGCCCGGCCCTGATCTGCGCAGATGGGGGCCGGGCTGGCTGGACCCCACCCATGCACAAATTTGTGCACTGGGCCTCTAGTAATATTATTAATAGAGCTGACTTTCCTACATTTATATAATGTATATGAGGCCCCTACAGGTAGTGTGGAGCCAGCCTGCCCCTGTACTTTGTAAATATTTTCAAGTTGTAATGATATAAAGCATAGATAAGTTGTTGTTTTTCCCCATCCATTCAGTTCTAGAGAAATCCTTTGTGCCAGAAAGGGTCAATGGAACCAAAAACAAATTTCCAAAGTCAGAATATTGAAGTCTCAGTTCTGCACCTTCTCCATGTTAGAAATCCCCTCTTTTTAAAAAAAAAATGAATAACACAAAGTTCCTTAATATGACCACTGCTCCAACATGCAATACTCAAAACCACGTTGCCATGGCAATCCCTTGTGTTCTTTTAGCTTTCCATTTTGATTTCTTATTATTAATCCT